GAACTAAAGAGAATGTATTTGTGTAATTAGTTGACAAATATATTTTATTTTTTCTTTAGTTTCAGAATGATTTATCCCATATAAATTTATAAAGTGATTTCCCAACATCCGCTAAGCAAAATCAGACTGACTATGTAGTTGGATGATCCACTGTCGTCATTTGTTGGAAACAGCATCTGCCGGTTATTATCTCAGGTGCAAAGGGAAGCCTGGGTCTCCCCATACTGGTTATACCGGTTTCTTGCCTTGGTAGGTAGGGAAATGGGTTGGTGGTAGATGGAAAATCCCAGGCTTCAAGTTAGAGCCTGCATTTAAAGGAATAATGAGTATAGCACAGTTGAGGTGCCAAGGAGAGAAGCCGAAAGCTACTGCAGACTTGAGAGAGATTAACTTAGATCTCAGTTCACCCTCTGGAGGTTTGTGCTCATTTGTGAATGAACTCACAAATCCAAATGGGATTGAAGGCAGCAAGGAGTGGGCAGTCCTCAGCATCGCTGTCAGGAACCAGGAACGGTCCTGATGCAAGCTCCAGCTGTCTGCATGGCACAAGGAGAGAGCCACAGTGGAGGCAGAAGTTGGGAACTGATAATGTCTTGAAGAATGTAGCTTTGAAAGAAAACTGTTTGAAATTTTGGAAAAATGGGTATATTATAGTGATGAGAAGAAACTGCCGAAAAAAGGTGCTCAACCCCACCTTTCTTTCTTTTTCCTCTTTGCAGTGCGAAGTATTAAACTGCGGGCCTTGGGCTTACTAAGCAAGTGTTCTACAGTGACTGGTGATATCCCCAGCCCTTGGTGCTTTGAGACAGGGTCTAATTATGTAGCTAAAGCTAGCCTGGGACTCCAGATTCTCCAGCTTCAGTCCTAGAGTACTGGGGTTAGAGGCTTGTCCAACACACCCAGATCTGCTTTAGCAAACACATATTGTAATAATTAGAGATCGAGAGGAAGTTTCTTTAATAAGGTAGATTTTTTTATTTGCTTAATTATTATCATTATCACTATCTGTTGTTGTTGTTATTATTATTATTATGTTACTATTACTACTACTACTACTATTTGAGGAAGGGTCTTACATAGCCCAGTTGGTTTCAAATTCTGGTATAACTGTGGCTGGTCTTGAATTCCCAATCCTCCTGCCTCTACCTCCCAAATTTTTGGGATTACAGGTGTGCCCTATGACACCCTGATTGACTCAACTATCTTTTTTGTTAAAAATTAAAAAAAAATGTTTTATGTGTTTTGCTTGCATGTGTGTCTGTGCACCATGGGTGCCTGGTGCCTGAGGATACCAGAAGAAGGCCCTGGATCCCTGAGAACTGTGGTTACAGACAGCTGTTATCTGCCATGGGCGTGCTGGGAATCAAACTCAGGTCACCTGGAGTGTGGAGTAGGCAACACTCTTAACCATTGAGCTATATCTTCAGCTCTGGCTTGGCTGTTTTATATACACTGTCTGTCCAGCCTTCATGAGAACACAATCATGGCCTATTTTACTTTTCAGGAAACAGGCTGAAGGTGTTAGGTGCTTGCCAACAGTTTGGTGCCTAACTGTTAAGGGTTAGAAGTCATAGATCTTCAAACCTATGCTTGAAAAGGAGGGGGGGGGGCAGGGAGAAGGGAGGGAAGCAAGGAGTGAGGGAGAGGGAGAGAGAGAACTGTCTCTTCCCTTCAGCAGACAGGACTTGGAAAGCGCTGAGATGCCATGCAGGTTGAGCCGTCTGCACATCCTGCTTGGGAGAGCACTTTCAGCTTTCATGAAAGCCCCAGACTGGTGGGTGAGGACCAGACTGCTGACTGTGAGAACTTCAGAAAGACTCAGGAAGAAGAAAACCAAAGAACCGTTTGATGTCGAGTTTTCTTACCTATTTTTTATAACTCCCAGAAAGACAGGTCAATTGATTCTCCCAAGAGAGAAAGTGCTCATTCGTTAAGACTGTTAAGTTATAAATGTCTGATTTATTGACATTTTAAAAAATGTATTGACTTCCATACACCAATTCTCCAGACTTAAAAAATGAATTCACTGATTTCACTTTTAGTGAAAATGAAACTTTTCATTTAGTGTTTCATTTCTGAACCCACGAGCTGTTGGACTCTGACCTCCTACTATGTTCTGAATATGTTGTCTCTCACTTCCTACTATGTGCTTTCTGAGGTTTCCCAATTAGCCGTGACCACGGGCAACAAGACACACTGAGATGCTAGCTTATTTTTTAAGAGAAACTTTACGTTTCCTGATTTCTGACAACAGAAAGGGATAATATAGGAAACTGTCTTAATGAAGAAAAAGAAAAAAGAAAGAAAGAAAGAAAGAAAGAAAGAAGAAAGATTAAAAGAGGGGAAGGAGGAAGGCAGGAAGGCAGTATATAACTGATAGAACCCCATTGATTTGGGAGGTGGTTTCTGGCTGGGTTTCTAGAGCCGGTTATTGGTTGTTTAGTACTGAGTATACTTGCTGGCTGATGTATATTTTATAAGGCAGAAGGGAGAAGTGAGCTCTCATTTTGGATGGCTGCCAAGTCTAAATCTCTTCCCTTGATGTCCTGGCTCAGCTTTCAGCTGCCTGTGGCCCAAATGTCCCATGATCAACTTAACCTAGCGTGCAGACTCAAACTCAGTGTTTTACTTCTCCACCTCTTTCCCCTGATGTCTTATTCCTGCGAACAGGAGCATGCATTTTGCTCCAGGCGCTCAGGCTTTCTGCTGCGACCACAAGCCCTTCTCTTGGACATTAAACTGTGAGTCGTTCAGCAAGCATGCGTTAATTTTACAAAACCCTGTGCCTGCCGTGGCACCGGCATTGTCATTACTGCATCAAGGAAATACTGCTGCTTTGTAAAACCGGTAATGTGTCTAAGGTGCCTGGGACAACTGAGTTGAGACCTAAGCCATCCAGGCACCCAGGACTTGAAACTTCAACCATTCTGGGCATTGCTTTAGCCTCCTAATCACGTAGACCTTGTTCCTGCAACGTCCCTTATGACATAGCTTCCTAATGCTATGCACTTAGAGAAAAGCTGCTAATGTCTCCTTGTAGTTCGAGTGTTCTTCCTTACCAGATAGCTGCCATGCACCCTGTGATCTTTGTGTGACCTCTTATCCCTGGTAAATTTCTTCCTCAAGCCTTCCATCTTTTGACATTCTCCTCGTCTCCATCACAGTCTGGAGGAAGCCGTCATTTCCTTTCACAAAGCCTTCCCTAATCAGGTTCCTTCATTGGGTAAAGAAGTTCCAGAACTTTCTTGTGATAACATGTTGTAATCACACGGTAATCTTCCTGTCTCCACTTCTGGAGTTCGAAGGCTACAGATGCATCCTGTTATCATGTTGTAGGACTCTAGTCCTCCAGGTTGAGCTCTGCATTGCTATTTTCTGCACAGTTGGGAGTTAGGTAGCACAGTGCACAGGAGTCTTGGTTATAGGTAAAGAATAAGATGTCATTGTTAGGTGGTCTGGGCACTCTGTATCTTCAAACAGGTAAGGAGAGAAAAAAAAAGACTGTAAAAACTGGGGACTAGTCAAGAGATTAACAGAGTGGTCCAGGAGGGGAGTGGATGGAAGGAGATGGACAGAGAAGGACCTGGGGGAAGGTGAGAGCTGTGCTTGCTGAAAAGAAGACAGGGGGTCCTGTTGTGAGTGAGTTGGAAGGCCATCATTCACAGAGGGGAAGCTTGGCTGTTTCCAAATAAAACAACTTCTTCAAACTTACAGTTGTGTTTCTTTGAAACTTTCCCATCTTGAGGCTTTGCGTGGTGACTAACGCTCCCCTGAAAATTAATTATTCTGGGCGAGTTCTTGCCCTGTTATCCTGGGCTGCCGTGACTGCCAGAGGCCGTCACTGCCCTAACGTCAGTTACAACACACGGCAAGAGGCCTGCAAACCACCTGTTCTGGTTTTTTTTTTTTTTTTTTTTTTTTTAACGGCCTTTGTCGTTTAAGGTTTTAGTTGCCTAAACAACCTGGAATGGGCGGTGAGAAATTATTGTAATAACGAGAAATTAGAACCCTGAAAGGAAGTCCTGTTGGCAGCAGACTTTCTATATGGCCAAGCTGTTTCTTTGTTTGACTCATTCGTACCAAGCTGCCGTGTGATTTCATGGCCTTTGACTGAGAAAGAAACATAATCAAATCCAGATTCCAAACTGGTGTTTGCAGACAGGCAAGTCCTGGTGGTCATTATTCTACACAGACCCCGCACTAAAGCATTATCAGAACAAGCTCCGGAATGCATTTTAAAGCTACCTTTGGTTTTAGGGAAAAAGAAGACATCAAAACATTTTCAAATTGTGACACATTGACTGGGTTTTCCATTTGTTAAAATCTTTCTGATACGAATTACACGTAATTTCCCCCATAAGAGGGCAGCGCTGCTAATTCTCTCCACCTGTGAGCAATTTGTGTCTGACCTTTAACAAATGTCCTCTAGGCAGATGACTTACCATCCCGGAGCGAGGCCACAGCGTCATTTCTCATGCACACAAAGACTTGAAAGCGCCATAAAAATAAACGATCCGTGCTACAAGGGGCATTAGCTGGCAGAAGAGCTATAGCAGCCCTGTAAACGTCAATGCCCATACATTCAGAAACCCCACTGGCTCACTTCCGTGCTAGATTCATAGGAACAAAATGGCAAACGCACATGGTTTAGTTGTTAAGCTGCCAGCTTTGAATCCTGGGTAAAGGTTAGGCCAGAAAAAGGTACTCAGAGTCACATGAGCAGTGTGTATTTAAGGGTAGTGTCTCTTTCCAATGCATGATCTTAGGCACTACAGACACATTTACTATTAAGCATCATGTATATTTAATAGCATAATGTCTACTTTAGTGTCCTTAAAAGCCTGTATTCCACTTTATAGTTTCCATTATTGAAGAGCCAATGTTCGGCTCTCCTGCAATTTTGTAAAGTGCAGGCAACCCACAAGAGCTTCTAGATTTAGTTTGTGGCCCCGTGGGACTATGGTAATTATTATGAAATCATTAATTCTTCTTCGGCACTTTCAACTGTCAGGTACATGTAACGGTAATTGCAGTTAATGAATGCTGCTCAATTTATTAAATGTAAAATGAAAACCATATTATTTTATATGCAGTACTGAAGTATATTAACATTCATCATTTTTTTTGTGTGTGCCATGTTAAATTATCCTGTCCAATATGATATATACCCAGAATGCCACCATATATTTCTAGAAATTTATCAAAAAAGCAATCTAGAGAATTCTATCTCTCCAACTAAAAGAGAAATCAAAAGAATTAGTACCCAAAGTAATAGTCAACATCCATGTTTATGTGAACCACACTCAACTGCGGTTTTGGAGAAACAAGGTTCTTTCTTGGGCTGCCCTCCCCTCCACCAGTCCTCGCAGGAGTGATGGAAGCTTCCAGTTGTTTGAATCGTTCATCTTGTTTCCTTCTCACAGGTGTTGCTAGTAGAACTTTCGTGGAGAGAGACTGACAGCCTGCTTCACGATTTGAAAACACCGGGAATGCAAGCCTCGTGTCGGTCACTCAAAGTAAACCGCATAGACATTTGCCAGAGCAAAGAGAGTAGAATTTCTGAGTGCGTAGGATGAAACGGTATCACTTTTAGGATTCCAGAGGCATCTGCTGCCGATAAGGATGCCCTGACCATCTTGTTGTCCTATGTAAACGGTCACAATTAGTTTATACCGGGGAATCATCAATTCTTTGACCTTGGCTTTAATAACCTAGAAATTGTTTAAAAAAAAAGAAAGAGAGAAAAAGAAAAAAAAGAAAGAAGAAGAAAAGGGGGTGTTTAGTCACATAAGCTTTCAAAATTGTTTAACATATAAGGATACTTTGGGAAGGATGGAGGGGACCAAGAGGAGGAAGGCAAGGAGGACGGGGAGCACAATGAGAGAGGGGCGTGTGAGGACACACGTGTGTGAAAAAGCCATAATGACGCTCATCACTTTGTAGGTAGGCTAACTTCAAAAACGTGAAAGAAAAATTGTTTAAAGCCAACAGCATGGTGCATTGTAGACACTTTCCATATCTCACAGAACCGTAAGTCAACTTTCTTTCAAGTACTGTCCTCATGGGACCAGGAAGTCAGAAACAAAATGACAACATTAGCGATAAGCTGACCTTTTCTGAGATACACAGGAAGCTAGTCTTCCGTTGAACTGAATTCAAGGGACTGTCACACCCGATGAAAATCTATACTAAAAGATGGCCTCTCTTTAAGGAACGTTGTAACCAGGGTTACTTTGTGTTTTCAGATCTAGTGAGGGAAACATACTGTGAAAGCTCCTGCAACATAACTGAATTGAGCATTTATCCCAGAGTTTGTTATAAAAACTGAAGTAGAAGAAACTATCATAAAATGCACTGTCGTTGATAAAACTAGAAATATAGTTAAAGACCACAATATGTATAATTGGTAGCGTTCAAAGAAGTTGCTGTGGCAAGGAGACACCATTGCAAAAATGTTTATTTTCCAAAAATAAGTTCTAAAAGTGAGACAGTTTTTGGCTGAGGTGAGGGCTCAATGGTGAAGCACTTGTGCAAGTATAAGGACCTGAGTTCAAGTCCTCAAGACCCAAGCGAAATTCAGGGATAGCAGTGGGCATTGAGGATTACAGCATAGCTACAGGGACATGGGGGCAGAGACAGGACCATCCTGGCTGACTCGTCTTATGCTGTGCTGAACAACAGAAAGGCCTTTTCTCAAACAAAGTGGGAAGTGAATACTTACACCCAAGATTGTCCTCTGAGCTCTCTGTGTGCAGTGGCATGTCCCTGCCCAAAGTCACACACGCAAACATGCACACATACCATACACACACATCATACAAACATACAGGATGATTTTTTTTTAGGTTGCATGGAGCTGGAGATATGGCTCTGCAGTTAAGAGCACTTTCTGCTCTTGCAGTTTGGTTCCCAACACTCATACCAGGCAGTTGTAACTGCTTGTAGCTTCAGCTCTAGGAGATCTGAAGCCCTCTTCTGTCGCTTCAGCCGTTGCACACACACCTCTCTCTCTCTCTCTCTCTCTCTCTCTCTCTCTCTCTCTCTCTTTGTCTTTCTCTTAAACACATGCACAAATAAATTAAAATATAATTTTTTTTAAAAAAACAAGTGAAACAGTTTTGTACAGCAATAAATTTGCTACAAATTACATACATAATGATGGTTTTAGACAAACGCTTACCACATACACATGTACCTATTTGCATATGTAGTGTATGATCTAATACCTATTTTCATAAAATCGAAGTATACCATTTGACTGATCTCAAATCCAATCCCTTCAGCACAAAGAAAAAAGGAAATATTGTGGTTCTAGCGAACATTGGGCCAAGTGCACTGTACCTCCGAAACTGTCTTAGTCATCTGTCTGCAGAACTCTGGATCATATTCTGCTTCTTGTAGGTAGGCAGTTAGTACATCTTTCAAAATGCGATTGACAGCCGCCACAGGAAAATGCCTGGTGGGACCTGGACATAGACATGGAATTTCTTTAGAAGTCATTTCTAACCATATCCATCTACCCGATGGGTTCACAAAAGAATACTGAAACACGAAGGCCTTTAGTAACCTGGGTGAAGTCCAGCTAAGGAGGTTAGAGGTCTGAATTCAGGTCAGGCTTTTCTGAGAGACTGAGCGGGTAGTTAGTTCTGAATTTACCAGGCCCCCTAAGGAGTGCAGTGAGTTCTGTTGGCGCCTCGTACCGTGAGCTCTTCCTCATCAATTGCCAGTGCTAGTGGCTTCTTACTTCAAAGCCTCAACACCTTCTAACCAGTCCCTCAGTGTTTACACCCCACCCACATTGCTCTGGTCCATCATCTGCAGCCAGAGAACTTGCTTGGAAAAACCCAGATCGTAAGATGACCTTTTCCTTATGGGGTCTAGAGTTGTGTGTCTCCCAGTCCTGAGCTCTTGTTCCAGCCCCCATAGCTCTCCATGTGCATGCTGCTCCTACCTGGTGGGCTCCATCTGTCATGGAAAGATGCTCATGTGTCTTTACCCTTGTCTACTCTTCCAAATGGACCACCATTCCCCATCTGCTCAGTTAAGAAATAGGTAGTTTCTCACCTGAGGTACCAAACATCTCTCATTTATTCCAGACACACGGGTCCTCTGGATCCTAATCCACCTGAAAGCAGGTAAGGTATACCTGCAATTCTCTCCAAGGGAAACAGAGGCCAGATCGGGGTCAGGGAGATGGCTTAGAAGGACAAGTCTGATGGTTTGAGTTTAATCTCTGAGATTCACAAGGTGGAAAGAAAGAGCCTACTTCCAAATGTCTCCTGGCCTCCACATGACTACCTACCACACAATTGTGTGTTTGTGTGCACAAATGTATACACAGAAATCGATGTAATAAAAATAATAAACTCTTCAAAAATTTTAAAGAAATGTAAGCAAGACGGGTTTATCCCCCTGAGAGTCTAATTCAATGCTTAGGGATAATTTTTGGTTCTAGTGGACTCAAACAATTTCTAGATAATAATCACTGCACAAATAACGGTTACTTTTTGATGACCATATTCTCTGTGCCAGGGACTGTGACAAGCATGGGTTTACCTTGTGATATCTTCCAGAGATCTTTGAAAGGACTCTCACGGTTATATCTGTCCCACAGATGAGAAAATGGAGGGGGAAGCCCAGAATCCCAGAGTAACAGAACTAGGAATGGATGCCCAGATTTATCGGGGTTTAAAATTTATATTCGCAACCACATTTCAGCCATATTCAGATCAAAGCTTCAGATAAGTGAGCTTCACCCTGGTATTCCAGGAATTAGGTACATTATCCTTCTGGTTTCTGCCCAGACAACTACGTGGCATACACACGTGCTCTGGCTTGGTAGGTAGAGGCTGGATTATTGTTGAATGAATAAGGAGGAAGCGTTTGAATCAAGAACGCTATCCAATCCTCTTTCAGCAGTTAACATTATCTGTTAGTATTTATGCATGTTCCTACGTCAGGTAGAGGCTAAGGGGAAAAGTATACCAGAGTTAGGACAATTCCAAGCAAATTTAATTCCAAGAAATTAAATTCTCTTCTGGGACATCTGAGAGAGACAGGGAAGTCACAAGCGATAGGGTCATTCTTCTCTACCAGTGGAAGCATGCCACCCCAGGCCTGAGCAATCCAGCAGGGAGCTCAGATTAGATCCCAGGAGGGTTGCATGGAGACTCCCTTAAGAGCACTACGCCCCTTGGCTGAGAGTTGTAACCAGTCTGAGATGAGGCCATGGCGCGGCACCAGGGAGGTAAATCCCCAGGTCTCACACCGCTTTCATTCCTCCTGAAGGTTCCTTGGCTTATACTCGAGAGACGTCTAGGGCTATGACTGTAGTGCATTGAGGTCAGTCTCCTGAGGCTCATTAAAGAGAATGTTTATTTTGATGATATAAGAATTGTTTAGTTCAATTTAAATCAGGGCAGGAAAGCCAGACATGGCGGCGCACGCCTTTAATCCCAGCACCTAGGAGGCAGAGGCAGGCTGATCTCTGTGAGTTCGCAGTCAGCCTGGTCTACAAGAGCTAGAAAAGAATCTTACCACTAATCTGCACTAAATTAAATGGATTATACTCCATCCTTTCTCATTCCCACTCCTCCTGCCAAGCACTCATCTCATATGATCTTCCTTGACCAGTATTATTCCCAGGGAACCTGCGCTGCCTTGCATTAACCTACCTGTCCTCATCGCTACATTCAGAAAATGGAAAATTCTTCTAGTGCAGATATATTGGTCAGCACAGTGCTGCCCCCCACCATGGGAGCAGCATCTGCCCCTCTAAATGCATCCTCTCCCCCTTGTAGTCATGGAGCAGGAGGCTCTATCACTGCCCCCTGCAGCCCACGTGCGGAGCATAGGTGATTGGCTCAGGGGTGACAGAGCTGTAGGCCCGGCCAAAGCACTTCCTTAAACGTTTTATTTCATAGCAGAAGTAGGCGTAAAAACAAACCGGTGTCTTGCTTGTAGCAAAGCAATAATTTCTAACCTTTAGGAACCGCCATAGGGCATCTCCAGGCTGGAAGGAAGGCAACAGTGGGAGAAGGAAGTTGGCACACATCAGCCAAAGAAAGAGCATCTGTGATGCTTGGAGCCCAGTTCCTAGGGGCTGCTGTACCAAATCCTTTCTGAGCATGGCACATCCTTTTAGCTCACAAACACAATTCCACCTTTAAAACAATTTTTTTCTACACAGTAACGAAAACTCATTCTTTATAACCTAATGGTCTTTTCCCTTTATGTCCAGAATCCTCTGTCACTGTGCTCAGATGGAGCCCCTGACACGCAAAGGGACAGAGCAAGATAAACGCCCCAAGCTACTTTCAATGAGAATGAATGCCATCAACAAACCCTGTCCTCTTCATTTTGAGGCAATTTTTTTCCCTTGAGGAAAAGGTTTTAGATTTCAAAAGATCTAAAAAAAAAAGAGAACATAACTTAAAAAATAAACAAACAAACAACAAAAAACTAGATTCAAGGGAGAATAACGAAAGCAACAAATTGTCCCACAACTTCCCCCAACCGGGATAACAAGAATTACTCTAAGTTTGGCGTGGTGGCACAAGCCTGTCATCCCATACTTGGGAGGTGCAGGCTGGAGAATCAGGACTTTGAGGTGCCCTTGGTAATGCGGTGAGTTTGAGGCCAGCCTGAGCTATCTCAGACCAAAACAAAACCAAGAGTTACTTTACATTATCTTGTGCTAGGACTTAAGGAGATAAAATAGATTTCAAATAGCTAGGACAGGGCGTGCCAAGTCATAAAGCACTCCCTAGGTAGTGGTTGAGGTTGTTTCCTGAAGGAAGGGTAAAAGAGGATTTGTCAGAATGTGAAGGCTGGGAGATGGCAGAGGATATAAGTAGGAGACTTGCTGGTCCTACACAGGAAGGACCCTGAGAGATTAACAGGTTGCTGCAGAGAAAACTTGATACCAGAGGTTTGAGAGCCTCACAGAAGCTGAGCCCAAGAGTTTTTCTTTCCCTCTTTCTCTCCCTCCCTCTTTTCCTTCCTTCTTCCCCCTCTCTCTCTCCCTCATTCTCACCTGCCTCCTCCTTCCCTCACCAATCAATATTTTCCATTATGTTGGCTTCATTTGCTGTCTCTGTGTGTGGTGGAAAAGTTGGGTACTGTGGCAAGTACTCTTCAGTGCCAACTTTCCTGGGTTTGGGCTCACCAGGTAAGCGCATCTCTAGGCATGTCTCTGAAGGTGTTCCTGGAGGAGGTGAACAGAGGGGAGAAGATGACCAGCTGAATGAATGGCCCCGCCCCATTGGCTACTGTCCCAGACTTAATAAAAAGGGGAACAGTAAAGATCCGCCAGAGCACCCGTAGTTACCTCTTTTTCTACCTGATCTGCCCAGATGTGAACAAGCAGCCCCCTACTGCTTCCTCATCATGAACTGGACCCTTAAACCACGGGCCAACCAAACCCTTTCTTTCTTACAGTGTTTTCGTCCAGTATCCTGTCATAAAAAAGAAACTGAAAGCTCTTCATTGTGATACTCACAGTCGCCATCTCTAAAAAATCTGCTACCTACTTTTAACCTGAGCACCTACAAAAGCCGGGTACAAAACCTAGTCCATAATTTGTGGGAGTCACATTGAATCAAACAAGAGGTCTTCGTGCTTAGTTTTCCCTGGGAAGGCCCTAGCCATCCCTTTTAGCAACAGTTTTAGTGAATGGGAAGCAGACCATCATGTGATTTAAGCACAAAGCAGCCAAGATCCCAGAATGTTTTGCTTAACTATCACCTTCCTGGGCATCCTTGAAACCTGCGTTCAAGCTCAGGTCGGGCACTGCAGCCTGTGATTTTCTTCCTCTCTCTCCTCTCTGCGGTTAGGGAGCAAAGGTAAGTGGTGCTTTCTCTAAGAAGCACAGCTTCCCTTTCCTATTCTTTTTTCCCCTCATGGACTATATTCATGTTTTACTTCATTTATGACAGCTGTAATCATTTTGATAAAAGGACAAACACACCGTAACTTAAGATGTGTTTAGAAGACGTGGACAATGATAGTGGTGGTGGTGACCTCTTAGCCACTGAGCCATCTTTCCAGCCTCGACGATGAAAGTCTTCTGTGTTAGATTAAATCTGCTTTTCAAAGCAGCCAGTCAGCTCTACTAACAATTAAACTGTATTTCCAATTGTACTTTCTTTTGGGTTTATTTTGCCTGTGAATCATACTCACGGGCCTTCAGTAAAGATCTTCTATCAATTTGATAGAGTTCTGGCCACAAGAATGGGGGTAAGAGTGACGGCTGGTCACCTTTACTGGAAGGTCAGCACTTCTGAAACTTTTGTTTGGCTGAAGAAGTTGTATAACAAACAAAAACAAAAACAAAAAAAAACCCCAAACAAACAAAAAAATCAAAGAAACATAGGCATTTGCATTTAAACTGCTTTATCTTGTTGCAAAGGCATTCCAGACTTTTCTTCAGCACACAGTGACTCAAAGTCACAGACTGCCATGATTAAGAACCTCTGGTTGATTAACCAGGCGATGGTGGACCACACCTTTAGTCCCAACACTCAGGAGGCAGAGATATAGTTCCCCGAGTCTGAGGACACCCTGGTCTATAGGACAAGTTTCAGGACAGTCAGAGATACACAGAGAAAACCCATCTCATAAAACCAAACCAAACCAAACCAAACACCTCCCAAAACAAAACAAAAGATAGAAGCTTTGGTTGCAAGTTGGAGAAAACTTGACCCAAACTCAGGTTGCTGACTGAAAGGGCTAAGGGCCAGGATTTGGAGTTAGGTATGCCACTAAAGTGATCTGGATGGTAGGAACATATACTGTCCACCGCGAGCAGTGTGAAATACTACCGGACTAATGCGGGAGCCTGCAGAATTGGAGTGGGGGTGTCAGCCAGTACAATGACATTGCCATTGTGTAGATGCATCTAAAGTTACAGAGTGTTTGTCCTCCTTTCGTCTAAGTAATTACAGCTTCTCAAAATGAACCAAGAGTGTGGCCGAGGAGAGGGATGAAAGGGGCGGCTGAGTTACTCACTCCGATAGTATTGGAACTATTGAAGAAAACTGGCTATAAGGCCTAGCCGGGTAGAGTGATGGGTTATAATTTTCCTGGGGCTACTAGGCCACAGGTGGAATTACCCTGGCCCACAGAGTCCTTTCTTGCTCCTTGGTAAGTCTCTATGGAATTTATGTAGGGCAGTAATTATGTATGAATTCAGATAATCACAGGCAGGCACACACTTAAAGCAAACAAGTAGGTCTGTGAAGAAATGAGAGTGGGAAAAGACACTTGTGTGGACTCCACCTGGGAGCATAGGGCAGCTGTGACAATCTTGGTTTTCAAAGACCCCAAACCTCAATGGCAGCAGATAAACATCTCCATCAACAGGGGACCACAGTCATCTGCCTCTGCACTGGGGTATTTTTTGTCCTCCACAGTCAACAAAACGGTTGGTTTTGAAGGATAAACATCAACGTACATCACTTTCACACTCACGTGCGTATTCCATCCGGAAATACTCAGCGAGCTTGAATTGAATCATATATTATTCTATTATACATTTATGGCATTCAGAGATTCATTTGAGGTTTAGGAAACCCCACTTTTTGTTTTCCATTCTTTTTGAATCTTAAAGGAAGTGTTGCTTCGATTTTAGAAAGCAAGACTGTAACTCTAATGTACCACCAACTCTCTCAAATTAAGGTCACTTATCTAGGCCTGAAGACCTATACCAGACTCCGACGAAAGTGGCATAGGTCACTGAATTAGAAGTTTAGCAGGTGAGCAGCACACCTAGCTGGTAGGTGTTTTCCATGCGAACTGTGAGGCGAGAGGCTTCATCACGCGGGCTGGGCTCATCCACGTGAGACACGGTGCTGACGGAACTGAAAGCAAAAAGGGAAACAGTAATTAGCATCATCTCAATGTTAACAAGACATAATATTGATTTAAAGGCGTATGCTTCCATATACAAAATTCGCTGAAAGTTCCCAATAAAGCCTACAGAAATAGCCCGATGACATATTTAAAGTCGGAACCACATTAGAGATGGGAACACTAAAATGTAGAGAAGTTACTGGGATGGAGTCTCAGGGTCATGGTGGCATCCGGAGCAGGTGCTCCTGGGCTGATTTGTGTCTTTGGAGGGTTCTAAAAGCCATCACCAGTGGAGTCCCTAACAGACTCAAAAGCCTATCCCACAGTAAACACAGCTCACAAATGGCACTTGGGGGTACAAAAAGCAGCTTACAGTGTTGGGAAACAAATCCGTACAGACAAAGGGTATTATACAAAGCTCATTGTGATACGTTCCACCAAATCCCGTCAGAATAAAAAAAGAAATGGGAAACTCATCTATCTATACGGTGAGAGAAACCGCAAGTCACCCAAACTGTAAGAGTCAATCAGTGTCAGCCGCCTTTTCAGAGTGAAGAATGGATCTCCAAGGCAATTTGAGCTGATCCAGGTGCTGAGTGAGAAACCCAAGCAAGGAGGAGCCCCCCAATGGGCACTCTGTAATTCAACCTAGCTCAGAGAAAACCAAGTGGGACTAACGAACCTACAGAGCTCTACCCCAAATTCCCTCCACCTGTGAAGATGGAGGTTAAGACAGATGCCATTTCAAAGGCAATGATATGCCCCTTCTGCCTCTCTGCCCCTCTGCTCTGTGTGCGTGTGTGCACACGCGCACGTACGCTTGTATCTGTGGGTGTGAATGTGTGTTCAGAGTGACTGTTTCTCCACTTAAAGGCTATATTTTGGCTCTCATTGAATAAGAAAGAGTTATTTGGGTTTTGTTTGTTTTTTGAGATAGGGTCTCACCAAGTAGCCCTGGCTGGCCTTGAACTATGTAGATTAGGCTGCACTTAAGCTCACAGAGATCCATCTGCCTCTGCCTTCTGGGTGTTAGGGTTAAAAGCGTGCAAACACCATGCCTCGCTTATTTGTTTTTAATTATTGGGTTTTTCTTTTCTGCCTGTGAGAAGTTTAAAGTGCTTAGTTTGCAGATGTTTGGAACTAGTGAAATCTATGAACTGACATTTCAAAGAAATCACACTTAGTCTATTTTGAAAAATCATTCAGTACAGTACAGTTTATGGGACAAATTAAAGCCCACTCACAAAGTCCAAGAACATGATGACATTTTGGCTGCCTTTGTCACAATGCATCTTTGTGGTGGCAATCCCGTTTTCTTCCTTCTAACACCTGCTTTTTTTTTTCTGCAGCCGTTTAAAGTAGCAACCAACCTGTTAGGCCATTGTGGTTACAGGTGCTGTGGGCAGGCCCAAAGATGACAGGCAGCCTCTGCCTGAGAAACACACCCCTGCGGCATAAGCTTGGGATTTGGTAGTAAGTCTGCGTGCCTAGTATTGTGCATGCTGCTTTCAATCTGGCAACACAACCCCTAGCAGCGATTTCATTTCCTCTTTCGGTGTCCTTTGATAGTGTAGAGAGGTCACCATTCTGTCCATTTTAGAGAGAAAAGAAGGGAGGCCGAGGGCTTACTGTCACAAGTGTAGAAAAGGCAGACTTCGATTTCAAACCTTCCATTTATCGTCCAGTAGAAAAGTCTAATGTGTGATTACCCCAGACAGAACGAGAAAGGGGCGGGAACTACTGGGGCTAATGAATGGCTGCAGTTCAGATATGTGTGTGTGCACAACATGCAGGAAGCTTTGGCTGAGGCTCCTCTGTCTTCTACAAGGGTCACACTAAAAATTCCCAGGAAACAGAGCCGATGCACAGCTCAAATTCGTGGGGTTTAAAGTTCAAAGGGAACCATCATTTTCATCATCGTTTGTCTCCGTGTTACTGAAGACTAGTCATCTGTGCACTTTATGTTACTGCCATGAAGATGGTGTCTACGGGGCAGCTCACAAAACCCAAGGGCTGAAGTCTGATGTATAGTTTGCAAGTTTTACAGCCTGGTCTGTTTTTGAATTATTGAAGATGGTTTTTGTTTGTTTTGGACGTGTGTGTGTGTGTATGTGTGTGATGAGTGTGTGTGCATATGAGTGTGTGCGCGTATGAGTGTGTGTGTATGTGCAAGTGTACACAGAAGCATGTAGAAGCCTGAGGTTGATATCTGGCATCTTCCTTGATCCTCTCCCCCTTACTTATTTAGGCAGGCTCTCTGGCTGAACCCTGAGCTTCCTGATTCGTCTAGTTTGGCTAGGTAGCTTGCTGTGGGGGTCTCCTGTCTTTGTCCTCCCTGCCAGTCCCCTGGTCTTACAAGGTAGTCCTCATGTCCATCCGACTTTTATGGGTTCTGAGAATCCAAACTCCAGTCCTCAGGCATGTGTGGTGAGGGCTCTACCTGCTGGGCTTCTCCCAAGCCCCCAGGGTCTTTGTCTGCACAGTCATCATGTAAATGCTGTATGCACATTGTAAAACATGGAAAGCACATAAAAACGGGGAGAGTAAAGTTTCATGTTACTAACTCCAGTGCTTGGATAAACACTTATGTTAAAAAAAGTTCTTGGGTATATGATATTACATATGCAATGTCTTTCTTTCTTTCTTTCTCTCTCTTTCTTTTCTTTCTTTTTCTTTCTTTCCTTCTTTTTTTGCTTGAAACTGTATCCTAGAACATTTCCATCCTCAGTAACAAATATGCAGCCATATTTTAAATATCAGCTTAATATACAAATATTTTGCTTAACTGTTACTTCCCCAGGCCATTTAAGTTGCTCCCAATATCCCATTACTGTACGGGAATCTATAATTACCATGTGGCAGGGACTGCCATTTTCTTTTCAGCATTGTTCCTCTCCTTTCTGGGTATCAGAGCCCTAAACTGTGGGAAGATTTCTGTCTAAATGAAAAGCAAATCCTCAGTCCCTTTCTGTGCTGCTGGGGTTCTGTGGCTTGAGAACCACTGTGAAGAACCGCAACTGTCTGGGTAGAAATTTGAGAAAGATTTCTCAAAACAAAACAACATCAGAACTCCAAATCAACACATTTTGAGTTAACCAATAGGAGTCTATCTTCAGTCTCCCTTGTTACTAAATTGTGTTTGGTGTTAGGGTCGCAGCAGCTTCTTGACCTTGTAGATTGTGGATCAGAGCAATGGGAGCCTGGATCTCTAAACTGCCCCACTGGGCTTTTCTATAGGAAAACATGTACGTCTAGTTTGTTAGGGCACTGCTTTGTATTCGTTTTTAAACAGACATTAGATGTAACAGATACAGTCTCTTGTTGAACAGAGTCTATTGCACAAGGCAGGAAGCTGTGTGAAAGAGAACTTGCAGTCATTTTTGCTAAGGCCATAAAGCCTTGAAAAGATTGTAGGTGTTTTACTGGAAGCCTGGATATTTTGGCTAAAAGGTTTGGGGAACCTATTGCTTTCTACATCTTCAGACTGACCATGACTCCAGTGGACTACACTTTCGTGAGGCATTTTAAGAAACTTTATTATTATTTGAAAGTATGTCTGTGTGTCTCTGTGCATGTGTGTGTCTGTGTGTGTGTTGGTCTGTGCATTTGTGTGTGTGTATCTGTGTGCATGGTCTGTGCACCCTCTGTGTGTGTGTCTGTGTGCGTGGTCTGTGCATCTGTGCGCACGTGTGTGTGTGTGTGTGTGTGTGTGTGTGTGTGTCTGTCTGTGGGCTCTTCTGGTAGACCAGTACATGATCTTAACCACTGAGTCATTTCTCCAGCCTGAATTTTTATTTTTGGACACTATTTTTATATTTGTTTTCCAGTATGAAGATTGTAGTGCCTTGAATGAGAATGCCTCAGGCATTTGAACTCTTGGTTCCCCAGTTGGTAGCTGGTACTGTTCTAGAGAAGTTAAGGAGATACAGCCTTGGTAGAGAAAGTATGTCACTGGCGATGAACTCTGCGAACGTAAGGCCACACATACTCACGCTTTGTCCTCTCTGTTTTGTCCTTGTGGTTCATGAGTTGAGCTCTCAGCACTCTGCTCTAGCTGCCACGCCTCCTGCTTCCTGCTATGCCTTTCTGCCATGATGGGCACTTATTCCTCTGGAACCATAAGCTCAAATAAACCCTTCCTTCTCTAAGAGGCCTTGACGATGGGGTTTATCAGAGCAACAGATAGGATAGGAGGCAGGGCCTCCCTGAAGCTAAGTTAGTACTTTATTCATGGTAAAGAATCAAGGGCTGATAGTTTGTACATCAGCGTGCGATGGGTTGGAAATGGAGAAAGGAAAGAGAATGAGGAAAATATTAAAACAATATATTTGGCACTTGAGTGGAGACTTGAGGAGGAGAATAAGATATCAACAATGCTTGCAGTGTGAGCAAGAACCATTAAACAGGGTCCGGAGTGAGGCTTAGTGGTTAAAAGCATTGACGACTCTTCCAGAGGACCCAGCTTCAATTTGCAGCCCCCACATGGCAGCTCACCACCGTCTGTAACTCCGATACCCTCACACAGACATAATGCAGGCAAAGCACCAATGCAAATAAAATAAAATAAATAAATCATTAAAAAATTAAACTAGAACGTGAGCTAGGTGTATTTTTCTTTTCTTTTCTTTCTTTCTTTTTATTTTTGTTTTATGGAGAATTGTTTTGTCTGGATGTATGTCTGTGAGCCATATGCATTCTTACTGCCCACACAGGCCAACAAAGAGTGTTGGGTCACTTGGAACTGGAGTTACAGACTGTAACTGTGAGCCGCCATGTGGGTACTGGGAATCAAACCTGGTCCTTTGAAAGAGCAGCCCCTGGTTCTTACCCACCAAATTGTCTTCCAGCCCTGTGGTAAGGTTTTAGAAATCAAAGAGCTCCTATATTTTAAAAGCAAGGAGCTGTCAATGTCCAGAACACCAGCTTACACACGAGTGGACAGATTCTATGTTGATCGGCAGCTCCACTCAGGCTACTTGAATTGCTAAAGACAATCACGTGACTTGCT